AGGTGACTCTGAATTTGTGAGGCAGGGCTCGTTAAGACAGGCGGCTGGGTTGCACCCCCAGAGGTCCCGATGCAGGGACGGGTTGGGCCGGAGAACCTGCATGCTGCTGGCATGGGCTCGCACTTCCCGAACCAGTTATCTCTGAGTTTTCCCTATTGCTTCCTTTTCATCCACACTGACACTTATCCTTCCATGTCCTCTGTCTTCCCCTTCCATTCCCACTCCTTTGACTTTTGTTTTTTAATCTTGGGAGGAAGCATAGAGGAGTCCTGCTTTGTCCCACTACAGGATGGTTTGTGTTATCTTTGTTTTTTCTCCGATACTCTTGTTTTCAAATATCTCCTTAACTCTTGGTTTCCTTTCTTACAAATTTTATAAAGATGCAGTAAAGTGAACTGAGAAACTCCTAGAAGAGATGAAGTCCTACTGTGGTTTGTCTGGCAGAAAAAGAGCAATTAGGTGAGAGATTTTCTTTTACTCTTAAAAAAAAAATACTTAAGGAGTCAGAAGGAAGTTCAAGGGAAACCCAAGGAGTATCACATTGCCTCAGCACTTGAATTCCATAGAGGAAGGAAACACGTCGAGAGCTTATTATTTAGAGATTGGATATAGAGCAAAGAAACCCAATGTCTCCTAGGAGGAGGGGGTACAGTAATGATGATGATAACCTTGTTAAACATTAAGTAGTACTTTACCTTTTATGAAAAGCTCTCCCATTCATCATACCTTTACAGCTACTCAAAAGGCAGGCAAATTATTATTTCCATTTTAAACTCAAAGAAACGGAGGGTTATGAAATTAAGTGACTTGCGTAAGGCCACAATTAGAGGAACCAAACTCAACCCAAATAATATAATTCCAGTACAATCATCTTTCACTTATGTCCCCACTCTACATTTTAGTATTATAATAGTTTTGGAATATGCTTTATAACCAGGGCTTCCTTGGTTCTCTAAGTTAGAGCTTTGCGCCAAAGTAAATACAATAGGCTACTTATTTGTCTCAAACACTTCCTCTCAATGAATATGTGGATCATTAACATACAGATACACAGAATTTTACTTGGAATCCAATTTCAAAATTGATTTTCTGCAGTTGTTGAAAGCAAGTATCACTTACATGAAACGGAGCTACAGAAATGCTAAGCCAGTGACCATGTATAGCAGCTGTGATGCCAAGGACCCAAATGCCTTCCCTTTGAGCTCTGTTAATATACTTTATTGGTAGGATTCTTTTTGGTTAGACTATAGATAAGAATACTAAATCCATCCCTATTTTTCCAAGTATCCCCAGTACTTTCTAGAGTCTTTTTAGATCAACATTTAGACTTTTTGCTCTAAATTTTTATCATTTCTGCTGGGCTCCTGTAAAGTTGGGAGGCCCTACTTTTGTGATGTTTTCCCAAGAAATTGGTGAGAACTTTGTTTTGAAATGTAGGCCACAGTGAATCCAGGTCCTGCATTACTTCCATATGATCAGGCTGTGTTGCCTTTTGAAAATCTAGACCAGTTGTTCTTAAACATTGTTAGGTTATGGACTCCTTCAGTCAGACAAAGTCTTGATAGGCAGATTGCCCTTCCAAACTGACATGCCAAATAATTCTGGGGCGAAAGAGAAGAGTGCTGTGTCTTTTAAATGAGGTACTAGAGTGATATATGTACATTATTAATAGTTCTCAGATACAATACAAACACCTTCATAATTTACTAAAGATCCTCACAGTTTACATATCTGAAGGCTACACTTTAAGCATTACTTAGAATTATAAAATGAATTTACTTGTAGCTTTTGTATCTATGATGCATAAATGTACAAACCCACTGCTGGTTTTCTTATGGGCAAATCTAGTTATTTGTGTTAACCAACAAATCCTCTGGTGAATCCATTGGATAAATGTGCTTATGCACTACAAAGACAAATTTTAGTAGTACACTGAACCTTTTATGTTGCAGATTTAAAGCCTTATTTTAATATGTGATCTACTAGAATGTGTGAATTTCATCTCTGCTAGGTTTACTGGAAGAGATGCACAGAAGGAGAGAATAAAAATGTTTATTCAAGACCAAGAAAGTCAACTTTGGCTAGGAAGACACTTCCACAAATAGTCTCTTTTCTCCCTTGATCCTTAATTTTATGGTTTATAAGACAGCTATTTAGAGGAGGAAAGAACATAAACTGTATGAGAGTACTCTGTAAACTATAAATTGCCACATAAATAAAAATATTACTATTTGATTAATTTACCAAATAATGATGATATCCATACCACATGGAAAATTTCCTTGATTGGTCTCAGGTTATTAGTGCATTCATGTTCACCCCAAGTAAACATAGTGACTCACCACTACCTGATTTTCTTCCTAAATTCTGTAGTGCATCTGTATGCTCTTTTAGAGGTGTGAAAACTGTCACCTTTAAAAACAACTAATTTGCATAAAGGTAAGTACATGGGTTTACATGATGTCTTGACTTCAGCTGAACTGCAAAGAAGGAAAAGCTCACCTTCAGTAATGTTCTAGTGTAGCTGTTTACTTCTACGTTGTGTACTTTGTCTCAGTGTCTGTTGCTCTCCTTCTCTCTCATTCCCTAATTTAAAATTATCTGCTTTATATCCTAGGCCCTGGCTACTCGTGCAAGGTTGCTTTGAGGATTAATTTGATTTCGTGTATTGTAGTTCAAAACGTAACTTTCCCCTGGCAACTTATTTGTCATTTAAGAAGGATATTCTGGAATCAGAGGTTTACCAGAAGAGTGACTGTCATAATAGGAATTTCAAATATGGTGATCACTGATGCAATAGGTATTTTCAGGGGCAAGAGACTCCATATGAAATTATTTCACAAATGTGGTCTCTAATATGGAAGAGCATCCATGGAGTTCTTGCTTCTGTGTCTGTCCCATTATGGAGCCAGGAAAGAGCACTGGCTGGGAGGTCAGATCTTAGCTCTGGAGTCACAGGATACTGCAGTGAAACACCATCTTTCCCAACTACTCACTTGATGACTGAACCCCTTCTACAACATTCTTAGGAAATGATCATCCATTCTCTTCTTGAACCCCTCTAATTATAGGAGCTCGCTCCTTCTGGAGGCTGTCAATCCCATCTTAGAGCATCTCTGACTGTCAACAATCATTTTATTTAGTTGAAGGAGTCTCCTTACTGTTTCCAGTCATGAGTCCAGTTCTACCTTTTGGAACGAGACAAAACAAGCTTACTCTCTTTCCTCCCAGCCATTTAAATAATGTTAATAGTGCTAATAATAGCTATCATTTATAGAGTGCTTATGCACTAGGAATTGTTTTAAGAAGTTTATATTTATTAATTCACTTAATCCTCAAAACAGCATTAAATGAAAGATCTATCACTATCACCCCCATTATATTGACAAGGAAACAGAAGTATAGAAAGGTTAAGTAATTTCCCCAGGGTGACAAAGTTCAGTAGTCACTAAATCTAAATTCAAACCCAAGCAATCTGGATCCAGAGCTCCTGCTGAACTACTGTTATGCTGTCCCTGAAGCTGGACTCTTGAGTATGGCTTATATGATGCCCCAAGTCTTTTCTGCAATCGGAACATCCCAGGACCTTCAACCATGATTCGTATGCCAAGGCTTTGCTTCCCTTCATCATCCTAGTCACACTCCTCTGAATGTGTCTCAATTAATCTATTGCCCTTTTAAAAGGTATCAGAATAGGCTGTGGTCTCTAGATGTTGAAATGAAGCATAAGCAATAGGAAACAGAGTGAGTCTGTCACTCCTCCTCATTTCAGGGACCATAAGTGCAGCTTAAGCTTGCACCAGCCTTGCTGTGGCCTCTTCGAGCTAATGGTTCATATAGAACTTACTTCAGACTAACACCCTTCCGTGCTCTGCCTAATGACTTTGGTCCGTAAAATAAGGTAAGTGGAGTATATGATCTCCAAGGACTTTTCCAGTTTTAAACGCCTTGGATCAAAGAACATATTACAAAGTGCAAAGTATTTAAGGGATGTTGTGCCTGTAAATTCTTTATCAGGCTTTTCCCCATTTGGCCCTTCTCCATAAAGGGTTTCTGTGATTTTTGTCTTTTGGTGGCAGGGTGCTTTGCTCCCATGATGGGGACAGTTGGTGCTTCTAAAGGATGGCCTACAGTGGGTTCTCCTTAAAAATCTGAAAAATGACTCTAAACCTTCCCTGCTATCTGCTGTTCTTCCCCTCCCTTCCCACTATCTCCACACCCACCCCAGCTGCCAGACTT